CCTACGCAAACCTTTGTGGATCTAATTTTCTATAAAAAAAGAAGTCATGAAATTGAATGCAATGTTGTTCACACCGCAACATTTCCAACTAATGCTACTGCATAAATTTTGTTTGTGTTACATTAAACAAAGTCATAAATCTTCACTGAGTAGTACTCTCCAACTGCCAGTTGCCCATCTGCTGTGAATGTAATTCCCATGGGCCAGTGCAGACCCTCTGCGATGCAGTGGAGAAAGCCACCTTGAGGGTCATAGTGGTGGATATGACCGGTGTCATCATCATTATGCATTGCAACATAGATGCCTGTGCTATCTGCGCATACACCAGTACAGCGCCTAACTACCTCACCATCGATGATAGGTTTGATGGTGAACAGTGTATCACCATTCCCATCAACAACACCGACTAACTGTTTGAAGTCGTTGATTACGACTCGATCATTGCTGCCAACAGCCACATAACAAGGTTCAATCTTGACTGGGATGGTGCTTCTGAGTTCGCCATCAGTGGGGCTGTGTTCGGTCAGCACCATTCTTCGGATGTCACCTACCACAATGGTCCCATCAGTCTTGACTGCTACACTCCAGAGGTTCACTGCGGTCTTACCGACCTCACTCGGTGGCACTGTGGGGAACTGGAAAGCCAGCGTATTGTCCTTGTCAAAGACTTTCACGCGGGATGCGTTCTCCTCCACAACCACCAAGCGATTGCCGGTGCGTGTAGCTGCAATGCTACATGGCCCTGTTTGGAGTTGAAAGACAAAAAGAAAAGCATTAACCAATCACCCACGTTCATGAAGAGTTACATGTATAAAGCCAAAGACCTAGGATCAACCCTTGTCCCTTCCTCGACAAATAGATCTCTGGAAACTGGAATTATCTATTATGAAATAATCAATATGAAGTTCCTGGAAGAAGTGTCAAAGAAGCGGCTAACGTGTAGCTACGTCCATGCATAGCAAGTGAACGAGGAATCCAGGTATTGCACAAATAAACCGCCGTGTAGTCTTTTTGGGGAGAGGGAAATTTTCTGAGTAAAATATGCTGCAATATCTGGAAAAATGAATTTGTCAATCATTTTTTCTGTCCTAGAGCGTCCTCCGTCTGGGTACCATGTGACTCTGTCAAAAGCCTTTGCTTTAGATTTGTTATGTGGCTTGACACCAGTGGCGTATCCAGCGGCGGCAACTTGCCCCCAACCGACGGGTTGTTTAGCCTGTTTGTTTTAGATTACGTCATAGGTGAGTAGGAAGAAAGTACTCAGGATATTTGCAAGTCTTTATCAAACATGAAAAAACCCTTAGCAAACAACACCACGAATTTGAAGCAAGCGTGTTGGGACTTTGAGTAAGGCTTTTGACATGATTTTTTCTCCCTTTCATCGTGATGAATAAGCCAAAAGAAGCATTTGCTTTTGAATCCCCTCACAAACCTGTGTGTCTTTGTCTGCATCTGGGAACCCGCTACGCTGAAAAATTGCCTGGGTTAAAATTACCCTTAGCGAGGGTGAAAACTGCAACTACCAACTAGTTAGGTGGTTTCAACCCAATTTGGGTGATTTAAATTAACCAAAAACGGTAATATCCACTCATTTTGTGGGTGAAAACTGAGACAAACAGTAATTGTCAACCCAAAATTGAGTTAACACAGCCCGTATTTGGGTAGTTGCGTTTTTCCCCCTTCCTTGGGTTAAAATTTAACCCAGGCAATTTTTCAGTATTTGTTCCTCTTTTGTTTGTACTTTCTTAGAAGACCAACCATATGTTTTGTACACAGTTATCAATCGGGGACTTTATGTGAATCGGGACCTTATTGTTAGTGTTCAGGGTCCCCAATTGAATGCAAAAACAGACTCAGAAACACCCCCTCACCAAAGGCTGGGTACGATACTGTTTGACATCGAGGAATTCCAAAATAAATCATAAAATTATTTATGATAAACAAAGCACCAGCATATCGTTGTGAGCAGTTTCTATCCAAACTTACGTCTTTCCATCGGGATTGTGCTTTTCTGGTTACCATTGATGCTGCAGATCACAACTCGATCGTTCTCTTCGTCAGTCACTGCAACCTCATCAGGCTGACGAGCAGCAATGGCCCAAGCCCCACAGAACTCTCCTGGACCGCTTCCCATGCTACCAAACACA